AGGATTCCTCCCCCCCTCGAAATGCATACATTTCTAAATGACATAAGACAGGGGTTCCCACAGGAACCATGGTACCCACCAACACCTTTCCTGGTGTCTGTCAAGAGTTTTAAGAAAGAGGATGGGGGCCAGGTGTAGCTTTTGCCCAGCAAGGCTTCTGACTGGCCACTGGTTATTTACTTGGCTGTGTGGATTTTTTAAAATGCTGCTTTGGCAGCAGCTGCCCTTACAGCACAGGGCTCTTCAATGTAAGTTGAGGCAGCCATTTTGTGGCTGGCTCTGCGCTCCTGTGGCAGCCATTTTGTGCCTGTGCCACTGTCCACCAACCTGTGTCAGAATTCCAAAGGTGCCTTGCAAGTCATAAAGGTTGGGTACCACTGACATAAGAAAATCCCTACTGGATGAAACCAAAGGTTCATTTAGCCCAACTTTTTGTACCCAACCAACACATGACTCAGGGAAGACCATGAACAAGGCATGAAGGAAACAACTCTTCTTCACGCCCAGGGAACTGGTATCCACAGATCAGACAGCTTCTGAATATGTAAGTTCTATTTAGATATAAAATCTGTTGATGCCCCCACCCTCCATTAATTTATCTAATCTAAGCTACTTTTTTTTAAGTGGCAATGTTTTTATTTCCCCAGGGCTTGGCTGGCCTGTAAAGTGTGAATGCATTCTTGCTGGTGGATTTTATACGTTTGTAAATTTTTTGTGTTATCGTGTTTTTATTTGATCTTATGGTATTTTTAAAATATGAGAATGCCCCTGATTGATAGGGGGATGTATCACAGCAACAACAGCTATTTCATAGAAATCTCCTCCCTTGGGCATTGCAGTCTTCCAGGTTCCACCAACTGCAGAGGCTAGGTTACTTTAACAAGGAGCACGGCTTCTTCTGTGGTGGCTCCTGATCCTCCAGATTCTCTTTCTGGCAGATTTAGCAGGTATATCTTACCTTAGTCTCCCCAAACAAACTTTCTAGCTGTGCCTCCAGCAATAGAAGGATGCCTTACACTGATTCATATAATTGGTTCATCCAGGGGTCATTTCCTGCAGGAGCGCACAGGAGCGGAGCTCCGGCAGTAAAGAGCCCAGGGGGCGGGCACATGCAACAAGCCCCACCCCCTCCTCCCAGCAGCCCTCAGTCAGAGCAAGAAGCAGCCGAGGAAGCTGCAGAGCCCCCCCCCGGCCCCCTGGTCCAAAACAGTCCAGTGGCACATTTAAGACCAAGTCTTATTCAGGTACAAGCTCTCCCTCCTCTGCAAGGACAGATCTGCACGTCCCCCGTCCCCCGCAATAGCTAGCAATCCAAAACAGCCCAGTGGCGCCTGAGCGGTGGGTGTTGCCTTCTGACACACTTCCGGTGACGTCAAGGGGTGTGGCATATGCAAATGAGTTATGCTAATGAGTTATGCTAATGAGCTCCTGCACCTCTTTTTCTACAAAACGACCCCTGGCGTTCATCTAACTCAGTATTGTAATTGTTCTAATCGGCAGCAGCTATCCAGGGTTCCAGGCAGAGAGAGGTCTCTCCCAATACCTGGCAAAGACTGAATCTGGGAATTTTTGCATGTAAAGCAAGATCCTGCCCTAACACTGAACCAGTCTATCCCTCTATCTCCATGAGCACTGCAATGAATCTGACCACTGGTCTATTGAGGTCAATACTCTCCACTCTCCAGGATCTCAGGCAGAGAATGGTCTGTCGTCCCAGCATCTGCTATCTGAGATCCTTTAAATGGAGGAGCTGGAGAGACATCAAGAATATTTATTCTCTACCACTCAGCCATAACCCTTCCCCAAATCAGATTAAGCAAGTTATTTTAAGCAAGTTATTTTTGCCATCATGTTGCTTATTCTGACAAAATTGTAATTGTTCTGCTGTTTCTGCTATTAAAATAAACTTTTTGCGGGGGGATTCATTTTTATTCTTGAATTGTTTTTAATTGCGAATTGTTTAAATCTGTTTATCTTATATACTGCCATTATGGCAGAAAGGCAATCTATAATTATAGCAAGCAAGCAAATAACTTTACAGTGGATTAACCCCTGCAAAACCATATGTGAGGTGATCCCAAAGCACCAAGCATCTATATTATAAGTTCAGAAGATCTCTGAGCTGTAAAATGGGAGGGGAGGAGTGTTGCATGTGCCCTCCCCCCCAAGCTCCAAGATGGTATATTTGCATTTGCACTTGAATCTAAAGAATGGCTTCAGGCCTGGGACTGGTGATTAATTTCCATCTGTGCTACTAGATGGACTACCATTTTTTTTCTTTACTTCTTCTTTCCATGGGATCTGTGAGTTTCATTTACTCCTGAAGACAGAGCTGAATAACTGTTGCCTTTTTATATCTGCAGAGGGAGAAGACACATTGCTTATTTGTTCCAGTAGCCCTTGGTGCCACGCAAGGTCTACTGCAATTGCCCTAATTTAGCCTAACAAGAGCTTCCTAGATCAGTATCTCAAGACTGCCCCATGTTGCAGGCAGAGATCCACCATACCTTTAGACAGCAACATCTGTCTCCCCTCTCCACTCATTCTGAAAATCCACCCTGAGTTCCAGGGAACTTGGAAGCTTGTTCATTACTTTGTAACTTCCAGGGGTCCTAATAAAATGACTAAGCTACAACTTGGATTTCACCCCCTTATCATGACAGAACAAAAGAGGACACCAGCTGGATCAGACCACTGGAACATCTACTTCCAACAACCTGTTTCACATGGTAACCAAGTGGTTGCCCTGGAGCAGACCCACAGCCAGGATTTTTTAAAAATCGGGGGCATTTAAATTCCTTAGGGGGCACTGTCTAATCAAATTAAAGGAATACCCAACTCCTTGCCCGCACCTGCCACTGCTTGGGGGCCCTGGGCTGGATGGGAAGTCGTGGGGCCTCGCCAGTAAGTCAGGGGGCCTAGCCCCGAGGTGCCCCACTGTAGCTACGGGCCTGCCCTGGAGGCCCAACACACAAGCCATAGAGGCTTTCCTCTGATGTAGCTTTACAATACGTGATAGAGGTTTACTGCCTCTGAATATAGAAGTCCCCTTTAGTCATCATGGCTAACAGGCATCGATGGACCCATCCTCCATAAATCTGTCTAACCCCCCTTAAAGCCATCAGTGGTTGTGGCCATCACTATATCCACTGACAGTGAATTTCTGCTTGTTGAATAAAGAAGTGTTTTCCCTTCACTGTCCTAACTCTATTGTCCATCAGTTTCATTGGACAACCCAGGTTTTAGCGTTATGGAAGAGGGAGAAAAAGTTATTTCTTTCCACTTCCTGCACCCCATACATAATTTTATTTATAAGATGTGGTCCGCATTTTAGTTCGTTTCAGGATGCAGTTAAGCAGCAAAGGGTCTTGGGGCACCTAAAACGCTAATAGATTTGCTATGGCATCAGTATTCATGGATGAGAGCCCAGGGTACCATCTGACAAAACTGGCTCTAGTCCATAAAGGCTAATGTCATACTAAAACTGTTACTCTTTAAAGAGCCACGAGGCTCTTTTTAAATTTGTTTTGATATAACAGACAAACACAGCCACTCCCCTTCAGGATGAAGTTAGCATCTGCAGCACTGGCCATATGTATGCCAAGGCAATATGTTTTGCATGTGACACATTGGTTGCAGGTCTATGGCCACAGGAGGGGGGCTGAGTGTGCTGGCTCCGGCCCAGTATTGTGCACTGCCTCTGCTCCCCAACCTGCATTCTTCTCTGTTTGGGCACACTGCCCACACATATGTACATGCACAGGTTCTGTCCCAGTGAATTCAACACACAGGGCTCCAGCTCTTGAAGAGACAGTCTACATAGGCAGGGGTCATTTCCTGCAGGAGCGCACAGGAGTGGAGCTCCGGCAGTAAAGAGCCCAGGGGGCGGGCACATGCAACAAGCCCCGCCTCCTGCTCCCAGCAGCCCCAGGTGGGGCTTTCTTTCTTTCTTTCCCTCCTTTCCTTTTCTCCTTTCCCTCTCTCCCTCCCTCTCTCCCTCCCTCTTTCTTTCCCTCTTTCCTCCTTCTTTCTTTCTTTTTTTTCTTTCCTTTTCTCCTCTCTCTCTTTCTTTCTTTCTGTCCTTATTTCCTTCTCTCCCTTTCCCTCCTTCTTTCCTTCTTTCTTTCCTTCTCTTTCCTTCCTTCCTTCCTTCCTGCACAGATATGTGTGTTTCCCACCATAGATAGCAATCCAGAACAGTCCAGTGGCACCTTTAAGACCAAGTTTTATTCAGGTACAAGCTCTCCCTCCTCTGTGAGGGTAGATCTGTGCTTCCCCCCCCCCCAGATAGCAATCCAAAACAGTCCAGTGGAGCCTGAGCAGTGGGTGTTGCCTTCCCGTGATATCAGGGGTGTGTGGCATATGCAAATAAGTCATGCTAATGAGTTATGCTAATGAGCTCCTGCACCTCTGTTTCTACAAAATGACCCCTGTACACAGGAATGATTTATATACATGCGGGTGCTTTGCACCAGGATGTGGAATGGTATGGTATAACCCTGTCAGATCTCGGAAGCTATGCAGGGTTGATACTTGGATAGGAGACCTCCAAGAGAGACTCTGCAGAGGAAGGGGATGGCAAACCACCAGTGCTTCTCACTTGCCTTGAAAACCCTATGATCCTGGGGTTGCAGTCAGTTGCAGCTTGACAGCACAGACACACGTAGGCGCTTTGCCTGTATAAAACAAATGTACGTAGGAAGGGGCAGGGCCTTTTCAGTTGACTATGGGCGGAGCCAGAATCCTCGGCTTCCTCCCCGTTACCCATCACCTCTATGCGCACATATAACTTGTCAGGCTACAGATGCACAGAAGCAGGATACAGTGATACAAGACACCCCTTGCCCTTGTTCACAACCAAGGGTTTATAGAACATGAGGAACAGCCCTTGCAAAACAGTAACCAACATGCCGTGGACAAACCAACCACAGTAGAGAGACTATAACAGGCAGACCGAGATTTGGATCAAGACTGGGCTAGCTGGAAGCCAAAACAGGTACCTGGCAAGTTGAACTGCTTCTGTTGCCGCGTGCACTGTGGGGAGGGATGCAGGGGAGAAGGCGGTGTGGCGCTGGGTGGCAGGGGAGGAGCTGGTGAGGAAGGCGTAGACGACGTTGTCGATGAGGGATTGCTGCTGGAGTCAGGCTGGTAGGGCACTGGAATGTGGTCCTTTGTGAGAGGAGGGAAAGAGGCGCTGGTGAGCACACAGCAAATTATCTCAGCCTCCCTGTGTTGGGTGTTCCTTGATGCACATGGGAAAGAGCATCAAAACCTATCCCTGTTTCCTTAAGCCACTCCATGCCATCATGTGCCCAACATTTGGTAGATATTTTAATTCCATTGGGAACAGATCCATTACTGACCAGAGCCATCACAAAGGCCAGAAAGTAATCAAGGTAGAAGCTGCATCTTTCTCCCTCACATCTATTTTACTGATGTGTCCACTGAGAAAACACTCTCAAAACGTACTCTTCCTTCAACCTGACTGAGTTACTTTGTCATGATGGTTCTTCTTCTGTGATGGTTTTGTTTACTTATCAAAACATTTCTATCCTGTGACTGGCAAAAGCTTACAGAGGCCTGATCAGGTGGAGCCCATATGGGCCACCCAAAGGACAATGTGAGAACATCTGTAAAACATCACAAAGACTCTTGATACAATCATACAGTCACATCGAGGCTGCTTTTCCCCCAATGTTTTACCAATGCATACATGCACTTTGGTAATGTAGAGGGAGGAAAAGCAGCAAATAAACGGAAGGAATAGGAATATATATGGACATATGTGGCTGCCATATTTAGAGTTAGACCACTGGTCCACCTAGCTCAGTCCTGTGTACTCTGACTGGCAGCATTTCTCTAAACCTTTTAAAATGGAGATGCCAGGGACTAAACCTGCCTCCTTCTACACACATAGCATGTGCTCTGCCACTAACCCACGTCCTCTCCGCAGTTGAAAGCTGCAGCACGCTAGCTAAATTCCATCCAGAATTTATTACACACATTAGCAAAATGAAGGAGGAGTGTAATGCAATACAGAATGAAATTCCAGAACAGTAAATGGATGGGATGGGAGGACAGAGGGGATCTGTCCATTCCTACAGCTCTGTAATGGGTCTTCTACACTTTGGCATGTTCACCTTTGAGCTCATAACTTCTACCAGGTGAGATCACAGGTCCACCTCAGAGCACTGCCTGTTCTGACTGGCCGTGACTCTTTGCAATGGCAGCCATAGGTTTGTCCAGGCCTGATTCCTGAGAACTGGCAGCACTGGTTTTGAACCTGGGACTTTCCGCAGGAGAAGCATGAGCTCTGCCACTGTAGATGTGCTTCATCCACCGAATGCCAGAACCATCAAGGCAACAGGCAAACACGCCCAAGTAACTAGAAGGTGGTGAGATCTTGTTGGCGCATCTGAGAGGAAAATTTTCGCAGGCAAAATTGGCCGTTGAGCAGCTAAGCTCCAGCTTGTGGTGCTGAAAAATCTCCTCCCATGTGCAGCAGTGTGGGCATCCAGCATTTGGAGGGGAGGGGACGGAGCACCCTTCTGTTCTCCAGAGGGAAAGTCCAAGTCAGCTCAAGTTGTTCTCCATTGATCCTTCCTCATGGGCCATTTAACTTCACAGAAGCAAAGGAGGGCACTTCAGGGTAAACTGACAGAAGGGATTTTTGTAGCACACTGCACATGCTTAGCACAGCTCCACAGGGAACACAGCTCTCCAAATGCTCAATGCTGCCGCAAGCTGCAGCTCCCTGTAATGCAAGCAAACAAAGGACAGAGACCACATGTGAGAATACCTGCAGGGATTTGATAGCCACATTATAAAGCCGTCACCTTTGGCTGAAAGGAATTTTCTTCGAAATAGGTCTATAGAAACGCTTAACCAATTAGTTCACAGGCGCACAAACACAGAGAATTACAGTTTAAGATGGGGGAAAGTGCCAGGCATTCTAGGATTCTGACGTGTTTGACAACCAGACACATTATTCACTGCATACTCAACCTTTCTCAACATACCCATCAAAATCACACTTCAGTTGGTTCTTCCTTCACACACACACACACACACACACACACAATGAAATTATTCACTGCATACTCAACCTTTCTCAACATACCCATCAAAATCACCAGTTGGTTCTTCCTTTATCCTTCACTCACACACACACACACACACAATGAAGCTATGCTTTTACAGACATATAACTTCTCCTACTTACACACACCCCCTTCTGTTTTCTACAGTGTCTCAGGGAAGGAGCATGAACCACAAATAACGGAGCAATTTCTCTCTCCCTCAATTTCCTAATATAATTTAAATTCCTAAATATACTTTAAAATGTTAATGATGTGAACCTAGATTTAAATAGTGTCCAGACAAGATACAGTCTTGCATCTTAGTCACTGAACTTCTGTTCACTCAGTAGGTTTGAACAGCAAAGTGACTAACCGGAGGGTCATGTCCAAAGAGAATACATAGGAAGCTTGTGATGTACATTTTAAAATGCATCCCTTCGTTCCTACCGTTTAACTTATTCTGGAAAACTGGCCACAGAGACAGAGTTTAGAAATTAGTCGGAGTGAGAAAGAACAGTCTGCACAAATGCCACACACTGGTGGAATGCAAATATATGCAAATAAGACTTGCATAATATGCACATCAGGGTCCTCTATTTTGAGATACTGAATCTAGCAACTGGTTTCATGGCAACTCTAATGGCTGGCAAAAGACTGCCTCTGCCTTTAGATGGGTAGAAGCTTTTAATTCCAGAAAACATTACTCTGAGCCAAACTTATTCAAAGATGCATAAGACTCAAACTACATAATATGCAGAGTTCTGTGATTATTTCTTCATTTTTTTAAAAACCCTAAAGCAATACTCAGCAGGATACCTCTGGGTGAAGTGGGGGAAAGCAAAGAGAGCCTGCTTAACCCTTTACCTCCCAGTTCATTTTAAACTCAAAATCAGCCTCCTAAACCTGTTTTCTTCCACCCACCAAGGATCCCTGTATCTTCTCTGACCCGGGGTTGGGGGGAAAAAAACAGACCAAGGAAAGCAATTTTTATCTGGGTGGGAAAGAGACCAGAGAGCAAAAGAGTTAAGCACTCTCTCCTCTGCACGCTTATCGTTTAATTTGGTACAGCCAGCCCTACACTACTTTGGGTTAAAAATAATGGGTTTGGGTTTTTTTGACAAACTTCTTGCATTTTTCTTCAAGAATCAACATGAGACCCACCGGCAACAGAAAAACCAGTGTACAATATGCGTGACACAGAGAAGCCATTTAAAATGGCATTCCCATATCAAGTGCTCACGTAATGATGTCATCATATATGTTTTCCTGCCCTCAGCTCCACATCACCAGTTGTCTATGAGGGAGCAGAGAAACACATGATGTAATGACATCGTAGTAGGGGGTAAGTGAGCTGACTGCTGAATACATAATATGGGGCTGCCATTTTAGGAAAAAGCCCTGCATTGCCGGTCTTGTTCCGGTCCAAGAACTGAGGAATGCTATACCAGTAGAAAAGAACACGAGTCCAGTAGCACCTTAAAGACTAACAACATTTGTGGCCGGGTATGAGCTTTTGTGAGTCAATGCTCACTTCTTCAGAAGGCTGATATGCGTTGTTCAAAAAGGCTTCCATCCTTGTTCCCCCAAAGACACCTGTTCTGTTTCTTCTCCTACTGAACCAACCTACCACCGACAGCCCCAAACAGGTTTCAGTCCCCCCACCACCACCAGATTTGCTGAAATATATATCAGCCCCTTTGAGGTTTGAATTGGCAGACACACTTGGAAACCCAAAGTGCCATCTGCAAATTTCTGGCCCAGCAGATGGCTGAACAGACCAGCAAGTAAACTGGGAGATGCTATTTCAAAGCAAGAACATTTGCCAATTTCTCTTCTACCCCCTTCTCAACTTTTCATTTTACTGCAGTACCCCGTTTCCATGACAAGACAGAGGTGGTCTTTTTCTCTTACACATTTTCAATAAGCTAGAGGAGAATAAACATTTTATTACTTATTAGGCAGCTATCCTGGTCTTTCTTCCACACAGCTGAATAATAACACATGGTCCCAACTCCCCATCAATAGAAAGACAGTAACCTGGCCAAGATTGTCCTCTGAGCTTCATGGCAGGGTGGGGTTTTGCACTCAGGTCTTCCCACTCCTAGGCCAACCACTACACTATGCAGGTTTGTGGAATGTAAGCTCTTTGTAGAACCTTTACTGCTTGAAATGCAGGAAAATAGCAAATGCATTCTCAGACACGTGCCCCCCACTGTTCTGTTGCTGCTGCCTTCTAAATTTACGTGACCCTAATGGCAACTTGCCCTTCCTGCTGTTGCTTCTGTAATATTCTTTTCTTTTCTTTTTTATTTACAACACACTGAATCAGTATTTCGGCTTCAGAAGGTCAAGGAGCCAAACCTCCCTTGGCGTCATCAGCAAGAAAAAAAACAAAGGCAGGTCAGGAAACAAAAGGCTGGCCCCTTTCAAAGCAGTCAGATTTGCAGATATTAGTGGGCAATCTTGTTTAACTCTGTGCTCTGAAGGGAAAAAGTTTCACCCGCAAGTTTTGCAAATCAGCCCTGTCTTCCCCCCGCCCCCCACAGTGACTTGAGGCAGGGACAGCAAGAATTATGAAGCTGCTGATCCCACAACAACCAGAGTTAAATCAAGGGCATTTATAATAATACTTTCCATTTATTAATCGCTTCCCCCAGTGGGCTCAAAGCGATGTACAGTTACTCAATATAGACAAGGGACTAACAATGTTTGTAGGGGATAGGGAAGACAACATATATTCATTTTAATTGCACACGCTGTCACTGCCCGGTGTAGACGTCTTCTGGCTTGGCTCAGTCATTATAGGAGTAAGTGGCTGTAGCTGTAGGAAAAGTCTGGGGGTGTGAGGGAGCTCAGCAGGGATGTAATGTCACTCTAGGACTTCCATTTCTCCTAGATACTATGTTATTCCATAGAGTCCACCCTCCAAAGCTGCCATTTCCTCCAGAAGAACTGATCTTTGTAGTCTGGAAATCAGTGGTAATTTTGGGAGATCTCCAGGCCCCACCTGGAAATTGGCAACTGTAGTAGTGGTGGCCTGGAGTCTGCAGGCACTCACAGCTACAGAACTTTATGGTGGCTCTCTAGGTCTTCTGATGCCTTGTGTGGTCAGCATTCCACCCTCTGAGCTGTGGTTCTGCCCAGGCTTTCCGTCTTGTCTGCCAGTCACACCCCCACAGCTTAACCGACCTCATAGGATTGTTGTGAGGATGCAATTGAGGACAGGAGAGTCCTGTCATTTAAGCCACTTTGGGTCCTGTTAGGGTTGCCAGACCCCCAGTCCGGATGGGGGTTCCCCCAATTTTTTGGGCTTCTGCCCACCACTGGCCAGCTGGCTGGCGGGGGAAGCCCCACCCCCAAACAGAGACATTGACCAGCGACGCTCTGCTTTTTGGGCAAATCTCTATGGGTTTAGCCCAAAAAACCCATAGAGTTTTGCCCAAAAGGCAAAACCTTGCCGCATGACATCTCTGATGTGATCACTTCCGCCCCCCAAATCCCCCTGCCAGCAAGCCAAAGGGACCTGGCAACCCTAGGTCCTGTCATGACCCTAGGCCTAAGGCTGAAGAATGAGCAGCCTGTAGGCCTCAAGGAAATCTCTCCTTCCACAAAAGCTTAAGGTCTTGTGGAAATTTTTACACAATACCTACATTTCCCAGGCACCTCAGGACTGGACTAGGGGGAAAAGGAGGGAAAATAGGCTCTACCAGAAAGCATATCAGGCCCTGCACAGAGAGGGAGAGTGTTCACTCCCTTAGCTCAGCAGCCGTGAGACTACTTTTGGTGGGTGTAAATACTTCACTCATGGTGCAATGAGTCTGGCCTAACAGGACTGAGTAGTAAAATAAAGTAGAAACCAAATAAGGCAGTCACATCAGAGAGCTTTGTTGCTTTCTGGCTGGCTTCTTCCTTTGTGAGTTGCAACTTGGGTAGTTGTAGTGAATCTGTATTAATTCTGTCCTGTTCTTTGTAACTTTTCTCCTATTTACATACTTGCTATAATATTTGCTTAATAAACTGTTTCTTGTTCACACTGCCTGGGTTCTTTGTGCCTCAAATTCAGCCATATATCAGGGCACACCCTAAGGTTGCCAGATCTCTCCTGGCAGCTGGCGGGGGATAGGGGGTGGGTTTACCGGAAGCTGGATGCTTCATCTGATGTTTCAGTGATGTGCCTATGTTACTTCCAACGTCACCTGGAAATGATGTCGTGCACTGTGCCTACATCACCAGGAAGTAACGTAGGCACGTTGGAGGCAATGTTCTGGTTTTTGGGCAAAATTGCCCTCAAACCATAGAGTTTTGCCCAAAAACCAAAGCGTCACTCCCAACATTCCTATATCCCTTCTGGGTGATGTAGGCACATCACACGACGTTGCTGTGTGTGTGTGTGTGGGGGGGGATTTACTCCTGCTGGCCAGCTGGCAAAACCAGGCAATCCCCTGCCCCCAACTCCTGCAAAAGCAGGCAATCCCCTGCCCCCAAATGGGGAATGGAAGCCCTATGGGGTGATGCTCTGATTTTTGGGCAAAAACTCTATGGCAGAATTAGCTTCTGCCATAGAGTTTTTGCCCAAAAGCCAGAGTGCTGCCCCGATGTGCCTACATCCCTTCTTGGTCATGTTGAAGACATGCAGGAACATCACTGAAACGTTGGCTGTTCCTTCCTTTTTTGAGGAGTAAGTTCCCCCCGCTGGACAGCTGATTGGTAGCGGAGAGGTAAGGTCTGGGAGTGGGGGACTCCTGCCCCCACAGGGGGGGGGGTCTGGCAACCCTAGCACACCCTGACTAAAGAGGGAGTTGCCTAGAGGCAGGGAGGGTGCTCTGGGCCCTCCCTCCCCAGAACCGGAATGGTGGCAGCCAGTGCAGGTCCTTGTCTACATTGGGTTGCCAACTCTGGCTTGGAAAACTCCTGGAGAATTGGGGGCAGTACCTAAGGAGGGACTTTAGTTTCTCTTAAACTCTCCATAGAGTCCACCCTCCAAAGCTACAATTTCTTCCAGGAGAACAGGTGTGGTTTGGAGATCTGTTGTAATTCCAGGGAGAACTCCAGGTCCCACTTAGAGATCACCAATCCTATTCAGCTTGCTCCAAGCCTGAAGGGGGCAGCAGGAAATGACGATGTGTGTGGGGAAGAGACATTCCTGGAAGAGACGTCTCATCTGCGGAAAACTTTCCTTTCATTTATTAGCTTCATTGACCAGAGGTCTTAAGCCAAACATCTGCGGGAAACATGCATGGCCCCTCCCCTGTCCCATAACAGGTCCCCATTAGGGACAAAGGCAGGGTATAAATGGTGTAAAATAAAATATATTTGTCATTGGGGTAAAGATTGGGGCTTGAGCGCTCAAGTCCGTTCTAGTTCTTAATTTTTTTCACTTATTTGGGTGGCCTCTGCTTGAACTTCTAAAGCCCAGTTTATTAAAATGCTTTACCAGCTGCCAGTGCTGCTCAGGAAGCATAAGAAGCGACTGGCAGGGAGGCAACCCTCCCATACTCACCATTTCTCAGATATTAGTATGGTGGTTTCTGGCAGAAAAGAAATACCCAGATCTCAAAAGCAGCTCATCTGTGCCAGCCTCTTCTCCCCCAAATTGCAGCTTTGCAAGTCAAGTGCCACAGACAGGAATATCATTAGCTGCGTCAGCAACAAAGAGGCTTAGAGCGTTTTCACACATGGGGTTTAAGCATGGTCATGCTTCGATCGTTTTGTAACGTGATTACTTACACTGGCGAGAATGCTCATTCACTTTGCTTCTACTAGGTTTTCAATCAAACGTCCAATTAATATTTGAGCAAAATAGGCAAAGGCATATGAGGCCTCATATCTGAAAATGCCCTAAAGGGATGTACAGACATATATTTCATCACAACAGTTAATCCACTGTAGAACTGCATTGCAATTTTGGCCAGATGTATATAATCAAACTCAATAGATACTGGCTGTGCACAGTACTAACTGGCTAGCCCCTGCGACTTTGCCTGTTCCGGAGAAATGTGCATGTTGCACCCATACTGTGGTCACTCCACAGGTTACTGATCAGTTACTGGATTCAATTCAAGGTTCTGGTTGTTGCCTACAAAGCCCTGAAGGACCATCTCCTCCCATACTATCCCACCTGCGAAGTAAGATCTGCCTCTTAAGCCCTGTTGTCTGTGTCTCTGTCTTCACAAGAGAAGCTGGAAGTGACTAGAGACAGGGCATTTTCTGTGGTGACACCTTGCCTTAGGAACACCTTCCCCCCTGAGGCTCTCCCCAATGCCTACTTTACTGTTAACTCTGATTGGCAACACCAAAGTCTCAAAACAGTGATTTTTTCCCCAAGCCTGTTTTCAGTGACCCTTTCAACCAATGACACAATGGTTTTACCCCAGCACCTTTTCCGTTCAGAGCATGTGTGCTACCAATGGTGAAGAAAGTAGAATCCTGAAAGCCTGCCCTCTTCCTACCTTAGGACAAATTCACACTTTATAAAGTTAGTCCCCCATGTGGTCTGAGAGTTCTGAGCTAGTTACTGGATTCAATTCAAGGTTCTGGTTGTTGCCTACAAAGCCCTGAAGGACCATCTCCTCCCGTACTATCCCACCTGCCAAATAAGATCTGCCTCTCAAGCCCTGTCGTCTGTGTCTCTGTCTTCACAAGTGAAACTGGAAGTGACTATAGACAGGGCATTTTCTGTGGTGGCACCTTTTATAAAGTTAGTCCCCCATGTGGTCTGAGAGTTCTGAGCTCAAAACACTCTTAAATTCTTTCTTTCTTTCTTTCTTTCTTTCTTTCTTTCTTTCTTTCTTTCTTTCATTTGTATGCCATCTTTCTGCCCAATTAGGGTCCTGGAGATGGCAAACAATTAAAAGAGAGGAGGACAAAGCAACTTTTAAAAACAGTACATATGTATAAAATTGACAATTAAAAACAAACAAGGAGGTTCAGTAAGGGTATGCCAAATGAAACAGAAAAGCCTTCACCCACTGGTGAAGTGGGATAGACAAATCCCCTTGGGCAAAATATTTTGTAATTCTGGTGCTGCAACTAAGAAGGCCGTTTCTTGGTTTGCAACCTATCTAGCCTCAGATGGTGGGGCACCTGAAGCAGAGCCTCTGAAAGATGATTATAAGGACTGGATTAAAATAAAGACAGAAAAAGGAAAGAGCAAGGCTAATTTCTTTAAAATAAAGAAAGAGAAAGGAAAGAGCGAGGCTTTAATGCACAGCATATGTATTCAGTTCACTAGTTTAATGGATACCTTCCTAGATACCTTATTCAAGTTCCTAGATGCCTAGGGGTCTGATTCAGATCAGGACTATGACGTACAGGTAGAGGAGGCTTAACCAGCACCAGCTTTTTCCCAACATGAAAGAGTCCCAGAGAGCCAGTATTTGCCTCGCTGGGGAAATTTATATGTAGCCAACTTATATGTAGCCATCAGTGCATTGACGTTTCCTCAATGGGACAGATCAAGTGCATTTACATTTTTCCACAGGGACAGCTTGCTGGACTTTTTCAGGTCAGGAAACAACATGGGAGTGAGGCTTAAATCTCTTCTTCCTCTGTGTCACAGTCCTGATCTGAACTGGATCCCCACACGCCTGGAGATTTAATTTGGAGCATGGGACTCTCAGTATGTGTATTATTGGAAGGCCTTAGGTTGGTCATATATGGGATATGAGAGCTTTGCAACATATGATTCTGCCCTTATACCAAATCAAAGCATTGATCTGTCTGTCTCAGTACTATCTCCTACCTGATAACATTTCTCCAGCACTGTGGTCACCTGGGATCCTGAGGACATGGAATGTTAGTGATTGGAACCTGCAACCTTCTAAATGCAAAGCCCGCACTCTGCCACTGAGACAACACCCTTCCCCTCTGGCGCATGTCCTCTTGCAATTGGAGTGGAAATTCCAAGCAACTTTCCAAAACATCTCACCTTGTTGATTTTGTTGGTTTTGGGAAGGGTCTGGCTGATGTGCAGGTCTGAGTATCTAGGAGGCTTCCGCAATGGGTTGTTAATATCACATGGCACGGATTCTGTCCGGACTAGTCTTGCTGGATCAAAAAAGGGAGAAGGGCGGGGAAGGAAAAAGAAAGAAAGAGGAAAGATCAAGGCTTCAATACACAGCACCTGGTACACAGTCCACAAGTGTAAAGGATACCCTCCTGGACCCTAATTATCCAAATCCAAATTAATTACCCAAACTCCTTCTTTGCCCTACGCCCTTGATATGAACATATGAACACTATCACATTGGCAGACCTTGGTCTATTTAGCCTCTCTGAACAACAGTAGTTTCCCAGGTTCTCAGGCAGGGTTCTTTCTTAGCACTACTCCTATTGATTCTTTTAACTGGAGATACCAGGGACCAGGGCTTTTTTTGTAGAAAAAGCCCAGCAGGAACTCATTAGCATAATAGGCCATACCCAACAGCAGGAACTAATTAGCATATTAGGCCACACCCCTGACAGCACAGCTCATTTGCATGACAGCACACCCCCGTGTTACCAGAAGTGTGGTCACCCAGCCACACCCACCTTTTGCTTCTTATTCTCTTTACCTTGTTTCTTGACAAAACCCAGGGCTTTTTTTGGGAGCAGGAACTCCTTTGCATGTTAGGCCACACACCCCTAATTGTAGCCAATCCTAATGAGTTTCTGCTGTTGGGTGTGTCCTATTATGCTAATGAGTTCCTGCTGGACGTGGCCAATTTGGGAGCCAGCCGAAACTCCGTTCCTGTGCGTTCCTGCCCAAAAATAGCCCTGCAAGGGACTGAACCTCGGACCTCCTATGTACAACACTTGTGCTCTACTCCTTAGCAATTTCCCCTTCTGACTGTTCCCACTGCTGTGTAAAACTCAGACAGACCCAGCCATAGTGGAACTCTTAGTTCCACCAACACAGCTACCCACCTGAATATATCTTATTCCCAAGACTTTCTTGAGCCAATAAATAATGAGCACTTTTGTCAGCCAACCCATCACCACTGAACTTGCGGAACTACTTTTATACATATTACTGCAGGCTTAAATCAACACTGAAATCTCTTTTATTGGCCTCCAGGCTGGCTTCAGACCATACTTTGGGCTGCTTTCTTAATTCCCTCTGTTCCAGAGGAAGGCATACATCCTAAACTGTGCCCACTATGCATGTAACGCTTTGCATTGTTTCCTTCCAAAGTGTATTTCTTTGCCCTTTTATCGACACAGACCCGAATTCCCTTTACCATTTGGTCATCACACACAGAGCTGAATTAGATCCATTTGTAATATTTTACAGTCTGTTACGACCTTAACGGTCCGGAAACAAGTTGGTGCCATCAAACACATTGGCTGCCCTTTCCAGATGGAGAATTAATATACTGAACGGTCAGGTCACGATGCAGAGCTTTTGGTCCATCTCCATTCTGACAACTGTATTTGCTCCACTCTCCATTCTGATAACAGAACACTGGTGCCATTCTTCTGTTCTCTGGCTTTTAGATCTGTTATCGATTGATTTATTTGTCCAGAGATATCTGCTGCCTTTCTACCACATAGGCCTTCAAGACAGCTTACAAATAAGTTTGTACAGATAAGTTCACACAAGGATAGATAACAAGAATTGCTGTCCTCTGCTGATGATGCCAGTAGCACTTTGGGATGTATTGGCCAGAGCAGTGACACAGCAAGTGATAGTTTGGGGGGGGGACACACTCGGAGCTGCTCCTGCTATATAGCTCTTTCCAGCGGACAGCTGACTTGATGGCATTTAGAAATGCAATAGGAAGGAGCTTGATGGATTTGCTTTCTCGCCCTTGTCAATGTCAGTGGCAGCTCAGATCCATGTCGGTACCCAGTTTTGTGTCTCATGACTATTTGTTTTTCTGCCAACACTCAAAAAATGCCTACAAGAGGCATCTGCAGTAAGGATGAGTCAAAGCTTGTGAGTGTTGTTTTCAATGTGAAGAATGGATTTTAAGAGGTTCAAAATGGTCTACAAAAGACTCCCTAAATCCTGACCTTGCAGCTTACCACTGCCCTTCTAAGTAGCTGCTAGGTGACATTTTAAAGTAAAAAAAAATAAGGTTCCTTTTCATGCCAGCTACGTGATCCGGTCAATCAGATTATCATGATGTGATATCTGATCATTAATCATATTTAATTACATGACAACACCAGAAAGATAAATCAAGTGACAGCAATCATCCCTGCCCTCACTCTGAAAAATATTTTGTAGCATTTCCTAAATTATTGCCAAAACGGGGGGCTGCTTACTGTAGGAAGCAAACTTTTTGAAACAAGCATCCCTCATTTCCACATCAGCCCTAATCCTTGGACACACCATTGATGTCCTCTGGAGCCCGGACATTCCTAAAACATGACAAATATATGGTCTTGAATCTGGGATCTTCCAGTGAACAAAGGGCCTTTGACCACAAGGTCGCATTGCCAAGGAACAGCAAAGAGGATATCCTAACCCTCCAGAAGTGTACCTGTTTCACCTACTTCAAAGATTCTGTCTGCACAAACAACCTGACTGCCAGAGTTCACAGAACTGCATGTTTGTGCCCAACCCTTATGAAATTCAACATATATGATGCCTTGGTTAAGGATCTCCTGCATGTTCCCCCTTCCAGCATGCGTAATTGATTTGGATCCAGCTTGCCCCCCACCAGAAAATCAATGACAAATCAAAACTTGCCAATCAGCAGACAGCTAAAAGGTAAAAGTGCCCCATAGCTTTATACAACAAATAATGTCACCAGCTCAAAGTAATGCTCAGTGGCAATCATCCCAAGCACAATCTACAATGTGCATGAAAAATTAATTTAGCTATCACGCCATGGCCCACCAAAGAAAAGATAACCACAGTCTGAGGAATTGCTTTAATTCTCATTGGCCGAAATGAATTCTATGGATTTTTTTTTTCTGGTCTTCTTCTTCTCTTGATTAAGGAGTCCTTTTTCTTGTTGTTCATTATTGTTTTACAGTGTGCATGCTGCTGTTTCAAAATTTGAAATAAAGTTGTTGTTGTTTTAAAAATAATCTATTTGCTATTGGGTTACATTTTATGTATGTTCTTGGAGATCTGGTGGACCGTGCCAAAACAAGAAAAAACAAAACCCACTGTCTTCTGCAGCTGAAAACAATTGAGTATAAAGTGACTTCTTGTTGGTATTTGACCCCAGTTAGATTAGAATGTTTTGTACACATACTCATAAGTGCTGGAAATGTGCACTGGATCGAGCAGGCTTCCTTCATCTTTGTTGGCAATGTAATTATGCTCAAAATTACTGGTCTCAAATATTACCAATTATTACACAAACAGAATTCCTATCAGATTAGACTCAAGGATCGGTTTATTAAATCCAAGGAAAAAACCCTACACTTTCTGGAACCATTAGTTTAGTTATTGGGAGCTTGTTAATTGCTTCTAAGATAGCGTTTGCAAGATCCTGGAAGTTGCCAAATCATTCCCCATGATCAAAGAATGGCTTATCAAAGCCCTGAAGATTGCTGCAATGGACAAATGCACAGACAGCGTTCACAGAAGCTTCATTTCACTGCCTTCAGTTTTGGAAAAACTGACTCCATTTCCTTCTTATCAGAATAATAATTGCAATTATATCCTCATTGACAGAAATATCTCTCTGTAATATTAGCTTATCCTAAGGTTATAATAAAAATGATACAGAAAACAGGAAAACAAATCCTGCAATTAAAACTCTCAGACAGCATCCAGCAAACAATCAACTCCCTTTTGGCCAGTTTGTTATCCTGAAAAATTGGTGGAAAAGCTGAAAGAGCAATTTCACACTAGTGAGCCTCCTGGCTGACCATACCCCCCCCCTGCCCGACCCTTGCCTCTGGACATAACCCCCCCTGCAAAAAAGAGAGACTGTTGCACATCAGAGGCAGAGTTTTCACCACCTGCTCTGCCCTTTCCCCCATGGATTAGATGGCTGATGACAGGTAGATCTGTTCTATTTGGGAGTTTGCTGCCATTACGACTTTCTCCTATCATCTGCTGCTTTGGGTCTGCACTGAGTGGAGAAAAGCCGATTAAAGTAAAGGTAAAGGTTCCCTTGCTCGAAAGCCAGTCGAATCCGACTCTAGGGTTGCGGTGCTCATCTCCGTTTCAAAGCCGAAGAGCCAGCGCTGTCCAAAGACGTTTCCGTGGTCATGTGGCCGGCATGACTAAACACCAAGGCGCACGGAATGCTGTTACCTTCCCACCGAAGGGGTACCTATTTATCTACTTGCAATTTCTTGCTTTCGAACTGCTAGGTTGGCAGGAGCTGGAACTAGAGATGGGAGCTCACTCCATCATGCGGCACACTCGGATCTCGAACTGCTGAACTACTGACCTTCCACAGCCTGCAGTTCAGTGTCTTAATCACTTGAGCCACCGCAGCTCCTGAAAAGCTGATTAGAAGTACCCAAATAAAGAAATACATACATAAACCGCCCACAGGCAAATGCCAGCCGTTACTGAGGTCACCTGAGCTTCTCTATACATTTTTAATCCTGCCGCTGAAGATGTCTCACTATATGCAATAAGCAGCTAATTAGAAGTGTTTAATTACCAAAAAGAGTATTCCCAGAGTAGGTTGTATTTAGCAAGCTCTCATGGTAGGTTCCTGAGAGCTCAGTGAGATTTGTACTTTTGGAGACTGAATGTGCAAGACTTCCCCCTCCCCCTCCAGGTAATTTAAAAAGCCTCCCAACCTTTCACACAGAGAACACTTAATGAAAAAGAAAAGTCATTCCTAGTGTGAAAAAAATCATTCTTATGGGACCTGTAAATCTTCGTATCACCTGCAGGGATGAAGCACTGATCTTAGCAACAGCACTACAGATCCAGATATCCAAATGCCTGGTGTTGCCCCTCTATGTCAGCAAGAGGAGAGGGGACACATCATGGACTCAGCGCACTTAAGGTTGCCAAGTGACCAGGAAGGGGGGGGGGAGACAGCCTGGCTTTCTGCTCTCCTTTGAACAGAAATTTCATCTGCAGATATCAGTAAGTGAAGCTTTTCATGACACAGAGCCATTTTTTTCCCTCCTGCAGACATGACTGATCTCATCACAGTAATTGATTTTATAGGTACATTCAGACTAGACTACTATAATTTTCTCTACACAGAACTGCCTTTGAAGACTGTCCAGGAGCAGGTATAAATGGCTCCAAAACCACAGCAGCTAGATTATCGAGAGACAACGGCATGAATCAGAGTCTACATCAACTTCATGGGCTCCCCCATCTGTTTTTGTTCCTTTGCTTTGTAATCAACAAAAAGAATGCAAAGATGTTGCAAGGTAGCCTTCTGTGAGCAGAGAGTTCAAAATGATTGGTATGTATACGAATATATGGAGCTGCCTTACACCAAGCCAGATCACTGGCCCATCTATCTCAGCTTTACTGATTCTGCTGTGATCGACAGGGTCTACGGCAGAGAAAAATCCCTCTTACCATTATGTACTTGCAACCTTTTTAGACGAAGACTGAAGCTGGGACCTTACTATGTCAAGAATCCTGCCATGAACTATATGTAATTCTCTTCATACCATATATGAAGCATAATAAATTGGACCACTGCCCATTTAGTTCAGTACAGCTACTTTGAGTGGCAGAGAGCTTTCCCAGCTCTCTTCCTGATTTTTCTTTCAAACTGGAGGTGTCAGGGATTTCATCTGGGACCATCTGCAAGGTAGGTACTTTACCTCTTAATTTATTTTTATTTTTTTTATTTATTTGAGTATTTTTACCCCGCCCTCCCCGCAAGCCATGGCCCTTGCCCTAACATATGCAGCTATCTCCTGTGAAGTCAGGCCATTGGTCCTCCTAGCTCAGCATCAACTACCTTGATGACTGGCAGCAGCTCTGCTAGGTCTCAGGCAGAGGATGATCTTTCCTAGTACCTTTAACTGGAAATGTCACGGCCTGATCCTGGGGGCTCTGCATGCCAAGAGCCCCTCTCCTTTCCTTTCATTTATTAGCTTCATTGACCAGAGGTCTTAAGCCAAACGCACAAACAGCTACTATAAAATGCATTACATATTTTTACAAGATAATTTATACCAAACATTTTTACAATAAAAACTAATAAACATACTCATAAACAATATTAATAGACAACGTTTTATAAACTTTAATACAGTCTATAAAATCCCATATTATGGAAATTAGTTTTAGAATTTTAAAATTTGTATACACAAAATTACCTACAGCATTTCAAAGCTGCTTTAAAAATAGCACTATCGATAGATATTTTGCCACCAAGCTAGTTGTTTCAGGGTCCTCATCTGCTAGCGGTATGGTTATCACCCAAGGTTCCATAGGGAGGTGATATCCATGTAAAATAGGAGTGATCCAACAGGATCAGGGGCCAATCCACTGGTGGCAAAATAACGGAAGATGATCTAAGGTCACTATTGCACCTGATCCACAATCACACAATCTATTTGAATACTGTTTTTTTTAGCAAAACGGCCACTTAGCTCTGCAGTTGGAAAAACATTCAACCTAGCAAGCGTGAAGACATATCTAAATCTAGGGGATGTAAGGAAGCTCATATATGAGGGGATTTTCTTAGGTGGCACAATCCCTAAGGCAGAGTTGGAGCATACTTGCCTAGCACGAATTGAAGTGCTGAGTCGGTCAATGTTTGTCACCCTCAATCTAATCAAATTTAGTGCTTCTTGACAGTCTGTATTGTTAAGCACTGTAGGGGTAAAACCAATCCTCTCCAGCTTGCTATCTATAAGAGCCCCTCTCCAAAGGCCTTTAAAAATCAGTGAAGGTAGTGCAGGAATCTCTGTAAGAAAGGTAGGTGACAAATGCATTCAACTGCATGTCAGGAACTAGCTATGAAGAAGGTCCTTTTTTACGTCCCCATCTATCTTCACCTCAGATAAAGTAGGAGAGCAAAACAGAAATTCCACTGCAAGTCTCAGAAGACTGGAAGGAATTCATGTTGTATCAAATGCGGCAAGCCCGATACTTTTTTTGTTTTTGCACAGCAGAGAATGCAGAGCAACTCTGATCTGCCTATTGGTACTTTGTTAATTTTAATTGTTTTAATGTTGTTTTATGATGTTATCGTATTGTACTTTGTGAGCCACCTTGAGCAGGTTCTCTGTGACGTAGAAATTTACCAAACAAATAAATAAGTTGTGTTAAAATAACATTTAGTTTAATCGTTTTTTTTAAGTGATCGTTGGCCAAGGCTCTGTAGCACAGGACCTACGTTGCACACGGAATGCCCCAGTTCAAAAATTATCAGTCAAAGACTCTGAGACAGCAGTTGCTTAGAAAGACCCTTCTCTGCCTGAGACCTTGGAAAGCCACTGAGATAGACTGATGGATGGTGTGAGTTGATAGAAGGCAGCTTCAAATGTTTATATGCTTTTCTATTATCCATGCACTTTTGCGATGGCTGGCTGGAACACTGGAAACAGAAACAGGCTGGGCTTAATGGGGCCATACCCTTCTCCCAAGTAAAAAGCTTTTGGGAATGGAAGCTGAAAATGTTTATGAAAATTGAAAATTCAGAGAAAGGGCTTGGAACATGACCCCGTGTGGCTATAAACCCCATCAATCTACAGAGAAAAGCAGCTATAAAAGGCCATTCTCCTCTGTCCCAGGCTGCAATGTCAGTGGGAAGACTGGAGAAATGCAGTAGTCGCTCTTACCTCCACGGTGGATGATCAGAAGGTGACACGGTGGGGCCTCTTTGGTACATTTGTTGTGGCACTTTAGCCTAATGGAAAGAGAGACAAAACAAGGGTATTCATCATGGGCGGCAAAGAAGAGATGCATCCCACTTGTGGGCTAGCTGACAAGAAGAGAAATTTAGGCTCTGTTCATCCATGTATTGTTTAGAAAATGATGCGTTGACTTGCCATCTAACTTTAGGGCCTCTTCACAAATTATGGAGTGCACAGGTTGGATTTGGGGTCCCACCCTGTGTGAGACATAACACAGTTGCACACAAATTGTGGGCTCTCCTCAACTCCCGCAGCGCAGTGCCTAATTATGGCAAGAACAAGATTCGCATCTGGTAGCATCTTAAAGTCTAACAAAATTTGCAGGGTACAAGCTTCCACCGTGACCTGGATAGCCCAGCTTAGCCTGATCTTGTTAGATCTTGGAAGCTAAGCAGGGTTGGCCCTGGGTAGTATTTGGATGGGAGACCAACAAAGGCAGTGACGCCGAAGCAGATAGGGTTGCCAGTCCGCAGGTCCTGGAGGGGTTTCCCCCAATTTTGGGGGCTTCAGCCTGCCGCCAGCAACCTGGCCAGTGGGGGAAATCCCATCCCCAAACCGCTATGTTCTGGCACAACGTCACCAACGTGATGACATCACCCGGAAGTGACATTATCACATCAGGGACGTCACCTGGAAGGCTCTGGGTAGAGGGCAAAACTCTATGGTAAATTTGGCCTAAAACCATAGAGTCTTGCCCTCAAATCAGAGCATCCCACGCGATGTCGCCGACATGATGATGTCACTTCAGGGTGATGTCATTGCATCAGGGAACATCCTGGAATGTCCCCCAAAATCCCACCCACCCCGGTGCGGTGGGGGGACCTGGCAACCCTAGAGGTAGGCAGTGGCAAACCACCTCTGAAGGTCTCTAAAACTTCCAAGAGTCAAAGCTCCCTTTGTCAGATGCTGGAAATCTTGTTGGTCTTTATGGTGCCGCTGGACTTGAACCTTGCTGTTCTACTGCAGACCAACATGGCTACCCACCTGAAACCAACTAGGATCAGGCATACATTGAAAAGGTGCTTCAGTCTCCCCCCCCCCCCCGCACATTTTCCCAGCCTTTGAGGAAACCCACATGTGTCCCAAATGAGACACCCTGAGATGGTGTAAAACACCACAGCCTACGTTTTCAACAGATGTCT